CTGTACTTACATTCATTCTGTATGAACAGCGGTACAGTAGTCACCAGGAACACTGTACGACCTAGGAAAAAAATCAGGCCAGGTTGAAGGACACACTAGATTAATCATAATTTTTGTCGTTTCTTGTCTTGTGAATACTACAATTTACAATCTAGACAGCCAGTCACCAGATGCTTATTATGGTTTGTTCTAATATCTGAGTGATGTTCAAAGTGAAAACAGTGATGAAAATGATGCAAAATATAAAAATAAATGGAGAGAATGGTGGTGACAACATTGACAAAGAACATTAATCCTGGAAAAATTCACACTTTTGTCAACTCCTGCCTGACCTAGCACGTTTTTGTTTGTTTTTCTTGGTCATTGTCTTCCTGTAATTAAATTTAAATCTAGGCTAGATACAGTATTACCCCGCTTTACGGTTTCACTTTCCGATTTCTCATTTTTCTCATTTACGCAGTACCTTGCCAAAACCAGACTGTCACTTTCCGCGGTGCATCTACTCATATACGCGGTGAAGTATAATTTTTTTTCTTCTTTATTTAGCTCATAAAATTCATACAAATTACCCGGCCAGAATATAATTTACATTGCTTGAATTCTTACAATATGATGATCATTTTGAATATAAACATCATGGATTTTGCATTGGACATACAAATTTTAGATCTAATGTAATAATTTGGTTTACACAAAGCAAATATTTTATCCTTTGTGCAGAATATATGAAGTTTACATTCAAAATATTCCCTGACCTGCAAGGAATCCAGAAATGTCAATTATATTATCCTAACTTTAGTCTGAGGTATTATTTATTACTAAACGTTAAAATCTAGAGTTTTCACCCACACATTTATCTGGTAGGGAGGGTTGGGACCGACCGACCCAGCTGGCGTGAGTGTGAGGAGGGGGGGAGGCAAGGTGGGGTACTTTGACTGACAGATAGTGTTGTGAAGAATATTTTTATTTTTTTTTTAACTGAAGATATTTGTTTTAGCTCATAAAATTCATACAAATTACTCGACCAGAATATGATTTACATTGCTGGAATTCTTACAATATGATGATCATTTTGAATATAAACATCATGGATTTTGCATTAGACATACAAATTTTAGATCTAATGTAATAATTTGGTTTACACAAAGCAAGTATTTTATCTTTTGTGCAAAATATATGAAGTTTACATTCAAAATATTCCCTGACCTGCAAGGAATCCAGAAATGTCAATTATATTATCCTAACTTTAGTCTGAGGTATTATTTATTACTAAACGTTAAAATCTAGTGTTTCACCCAATCATTTCTCAGAGAGGTAGGGGCCAGTGAGCTGGGAAGAGGGGGGATTTGAGTCTATTATTTGAATGGACATTAACCTGGCGACTGTATTTCTCTTAAATATTAATTGTGTGAGCATACCATTATAAAATTTAGATGTTATTTTTACTACAACATAGGTATTGTGTCGTAAAAACTGGAGTTTGGGGGTCGGGCCAGTCTCTATTGGAATTAATCCCATATGTTCTGTTGTTCACTTTACGCGGTTTTCACTTTCCGCGGTACCCTGTGGGTTCATTAACCGCGTAAATCCGTAAATCGGGGTACTACTGTATATTTTTTTCAGAGTCCAGACACGACAGTCGATAACAAATAAAACAATGCATCTCTCTGAATTCAATATAATCTGTCAAAACAATGAAAAAATTATGTTATGATATCTCCGTTAGCCAGAACAATTGGTGCAGAGCGCTTCCAGGAATGAGAGGTTTCCGGGTAACAAGACAACTCTCTCAAAGCCGGAAAAAATCCCACGTCCCCGGAATTTTCCATAAATTTCTTCGGAAAAATTTTCTCAGAAGTTCCAGAAATTGTCCATTACATAATCTCTCAAAGCTGGAAAAAAAAAACCCTCGTGCCCATAATTTTCTGGGTACCGGAAAAATTTTCTTGGAATTTCCGGAAAATGATCATGAGTTTCATCTCTCAGGGCCAGAAAAAAAACTCCCCCATCCCTGTAATCATCTGGATTTTTCAGCTATCGGGAAAATTTTCTCGTAATTTTCCAGAAAATGTACCTTTCGGAAAATTTAAATTCCAGCTATCGGAGAGTTCCGGGTTTGAGGGATTCCGGCTAACGGAGATATTACTTTCATTTTCGAAAAATGTTCTGGTTTTCTCTCAGATTTGTCTGCGAGTAGATTGCAGATCGCAGGCATTTCTGTCAGTGGGCAGGTACACCTCAATTTGTGGGAGGATTGCAATTCCCAAAATCCTTTCATAAATAAAAAATCTGCACAGTAGATCGAACATCTGTAAGTAAAAAAGCCATGAATCAAATATCTATGAATAAGTAACTTTATAAACTGGGGCTATGTAACTGCTGTACAGTCTGCGTGGAATGTTAAGTCGCGATAGGGCCGACGAACTAAGTTCTCGCAAAAATAAGATCATATGTTGTGAAGCCTGTTCTGGGATGCGAAATGTCAAAATGCTTGGTTTGTTGGCAAGTGCTGACATTTGGCAACTGAGAACACGTCACAGCTTGTAGTCAGTGCGCCTCTGGCAGCTGTGAGGGGAAGATTTTTTGTGCGGGTTCCCGCGCCATGTGGCCATGTTTTGTCTAGTTTAAGGTGCATTAACCCAACATAGTGGCCATCAGAGATGTCCAGGAGGGTTACTACAAGAGACGATATTGCAGCAGTGATTGCATTGTACAAAGCGAACCATGTACTGAGAGAAATTTCGGCTCAGACTGGTGTGGCATTACGAGTTGGTCAAAATCTTGTCAAACGTTTCCGTGACCTTGGAGAGGACGAGTTACCAGCTCCATTACCTAAGTCTGGTAGGCTTAAATTATTGTCTCCACGGACACTTAAGGTTATTTCTCGACAAGTTCGGTCCAATCCCTCACTCACAGCACGTGAAGTGAAAGAGAGAAACCCCGTCTTTTGAGTCACGTCTCGTTACGTTGTGTTCAACAAGCCCTGCACGATGACCTGGGATTTAAGAGCTTTCGTGCCCGCCGTAAACCTCTGTTGACAAAGAGACAGAAGGAAAATAGAGTGAAATTTTGCAAGAAATATGAAGTGTGGGATTTAGAGACATGGAGGAGTGAATTATGGTCGGATGAGGCTACGTTTTCTGTGACTGGGAGTAATGAAGGGTGGGTGTACCCCCCCCCCCCACTCAGACGCGCACCTCCCACAGTACACAGTGAAGACTGTTAAGCACCCTGCCTCGCTTATGGTTTGGGCTTCCTTTACCTATTATGGTGTTGGTGAACTAGTAATCCTCCCTAAGAACCAGATGATGAATCAGTACAACTATCTTGAACTGCTCAGTGATTTCTTACCTGGATCATTTGATAAAGCTAAGGCAAGCCTTTTCATGCAGGATGGTGCCCCATGCCACACTGCTAAAAGTGTCATACAGTGGCTCAAAGACTGTGAGGTACCTTTCTTTACTGACTGGCCTGGCAGTAGCCCAGATCTTAACCCAATAGAAAATTTGTTAAGCGTCATCTGCGCGACGCTGACACATCATCAATCCCGAAGCTAGAGGCAGCCATCTAGGATACCTGGACTAACTTGCCACCTGACCTCTTGCAAAACCTTGCTGACAGTGTTCCTCGAAAGCTAAAAGACTGTCTGAAGCACAGAGGAAACACTACAAAGTATTAATTGAAGTGGTAAGTGTTACTTTACTTTATTTATATAACATAATCGTAAATATCAATATTTTTTCAGCACACGAACTAACATTCCGCGCAGACTGTACAGTAGGGGATCTTTTATCTGGAATGCTTGGGCCCTCGGGGTTTCCGGATAAAGGATTTATCCGTAATTTGGAGCTTCATGCCGAAGATGTATTAAAACCTGTAAAAATTAGAAAAATAGAAAAGAAATTGTTATTAATTACCAGGTACCATTTCCTATGTTCCAATTCTAAAATGAAGATATGTTGGGTTGGTTAACATTTTAGCTCAAGATTATTCGTGAATGACACCCTGGATGTACCCAAGAATGCCTGCAGGTAGTTTTAAAGTTGGCGTCATTTTCACGGCCGGGACGGGGAGCCTGCGAGTTTTATGGTATTAAGGAAGGTATCTCTTGTCCCAGGTAGCTGGGCCATGTGTGTCCATTTCATGCGTGTGCTATACTGCTCTCTTAATAACTCTGTTCCTTGTGCTTGTGATGGCTCCCAAACGCCCTCACCCACCTTCATCCAGCCGCGGGAAGGTGCCTAAACATGTGAAGAGGGAAAAGTAGGTCATGTATTTCCCCCATATGTACACCTGGCAACACGTGTGTGGGTACTGCTAGTTAGCGTGTCGTCTGCAGTTGTAGCTCTCCTCACTCCCTGCCATATTTCACTGGATTTACTGTTATTATTAGTGTTTACTGATAGAATAGTGATTAATCATGGCATTATAGCTAGGTTAGTTCATCATTGTAACCACCAGGCAGGCTACTGGGCCAAGCTGTGAGGTATTATGGTTTTTTCGACCCGTCTTTTCTGGTATATATACGTAACTGTCTTCATTTATTTTTACTCCATTACCTGCACACACCATCCTAAATACATTTTGTGAAAAAAGGTAAAAGAAATAATTGTCCTAAAGGCAAACACGTAATGAGAGGAAAGCGCAGTACTGTATACAGTATACGTACTGTATATTAATAATTACAGTACTGTACACTATATATATATACTGTATATAATATATATATTTTTTTTGTGCATGTGTGTGTGTACGTACGTGCACATACACAAAACCGGTAAAAGAAATAATTGTCCTAAGGGCAAACACCTAGAAGGAATACCCGTATACATTTCTTTGCACACGAGTAAAAATGTAACCCCCCACTTCCCCGATCAGCAAGTGATATTCTTCATTTTGGTAATTCGCAGCCAATTTTAAAACCTTTTTTAACACCCAAACTCCCGAGAATTTTAAGGGCTTGCTGTACAGTACAATATCACAGTTTTCCTTTCCTGTAGGTTGCTGTTGTAATAAATGATCAGCTTCCTGCTGCCACTAAGAGGATCCAAGAGAATGCTGCTGCTAACAGTCTTCAAGTTGATATTACCACAGAGGATGTTAGTGTTCTGTTGCACCAAAGACCTTTTGACTTTCTGTAAGTAAATGGATAAATAATTTGTGTTTGACAACATATATATTTAATTAAATATGACATATAAGCATTAGCAACTGAATTGTGTTGATTCAGTTTCAGTAGGTATTTAATTAAAGTTTCATATAAAAATTTTTCTTGGAATTCATAAAGTCATCCTGAATCTAGTAAGACAAACTAATCTGGTGGCTTTTCATCTCTTTCCCAACTTGGAGTGGTTCTGTGGGGTTATTCATTGGTCAAATTAGTTCTTGTAGTGGAGCAGCTAGTTTATTATGCACACTATGTACATCCTTGGATGGGAACACAAAAGGTTATAAGTACATAAAGGCCTTGGTAGACCTAAGGGATAGATAAATTCTGCTAATAGTAATTATGCAGTGTGCAAGTTATTTACAGTACAATATGCAAAATAAATAAAATCTCGGGATTCTGGGTCAGACATCATAGACAAGGAAATATGTAGACATGTTTTGAAGAGATTTTGTGTTCCCTTTTTAGAAATCTACAATTTTAGGGGACACTAAAACATGTTGGTCAAGTTGGTGGTCATAAGTCTTGCCCACATACTGTGTGCTCTTACAATATCTGTTAGTCTCTGAGAGTGTTATGTTGTTCTCTGTATTTGTTTCTCCAGATACTTTAAATTTTAAAAGGATAGAGATCCACTTTTGCTTATCTGTGAGTGAAGAAAGAGGTTTTCAAAGTCTTGTTTTAATTCTTTATGAATTGCTGACTGATTTAAATTCACTGTGTTCATTGTTTTCTTTAGCTCTCTTGACATCTTCCACTGGAACAACAGTGAACAATGCTATAATGTCAAAGCTCCTTGCTAACTTCTCACTGTTTTTTCCACCACCATAAACCAGTAGTTCATCTACCCTGTCATGTATCTGTAGCCTTATATGAGATGCTACCCATTGTATCTTCATCTTGACTCACTTCCTCTTTACAGTATATAGTCATACCTCTTGTTTGGTTTGTGCTGCCAGTATACCAGATTTAGATTGGAAGGGGTTGAGAAATATAGTGGATGAGAGAATGGCAGGTACAACCTGTTTGTCCCAAGGTTTAGTTAAAGCTAATGAGTCATATTCCAACAGATTTTTAGATTGTTATGGATCTTCAGTGCATTACCTTGATGCAGCATTTCGCAATGTTCCGAAGAATGGCATCCTTGCAATAACATCTACTGATGATGCTGCTCTCTATGGGAAAGCCTCAGATGTAACCCTGAGGAACTATAGTGGATACGTTGTCAAAACTTCTTATGCCAAAGAACTAGCAGCAAGACTTGTGCTAGCTAGTGTTGTCAGGTGAGTTTAGAACTATACACTTAGAAGAGTTGTCAGCATCATCAATATGAAATCATCTAGCTTTATCTTCTCAAACACTTATTCCCTTCTTTTTCATCTTTATTCCCAGAGCTGCTGCTAAATGTAACAAAGGTGTTGAAGTTTTATGCTGTGTAGCCCTAAAGAGCTTCATCACTGTCATCGTACGTGTCTTACGTGGGCCATCGGCTGCAAATAAATGTGTCCGTAAAATCAGGCATATCATCCACTGCTGTATGTGTGAGGACAGAGCCTTCTATCCTCAGACTGTCTATCCTCTTGGTAAGTTATGTAAAAAAAAATATCAATAACCAGTAGGGTGAAAATATGTTGTTTCCAAAATTTGTGGCAGATTCTTTGTCATGATGAGTTAACCGGCACCACATAAATTGCTGTTACTGGGTGTGGATATGTTATTGGTATAAGGTTTCATTGACCACAAATTTTTAGTACACTTGATTAAGTAACAAGCATTTCACAACTTGGAAAGGAAAGTATATGCTAAATAATGCATTGTGTTCATATTTTTACCTATGGTATGCTTTATTTACTTTTAATCTTAAATATTTTGTCCTCAGAACAACCATATTCACTATTATCATGTGACTGTTGGAGTAAGAGTGCTGGGAAATGGGCTGTTGAGCTCGGTCCAGTGTGGTGTGATGAGATCTTTGATCCAACCTTCTGTCAAGCAATGTTATCTCAAGCCACCAAATTACAGCTGCCACACAAAGTGACCACTTTACTTACGGTATGGTGTTATATGTCCTCTTAGCATGTGATGCCTTGGATGTTTCACTTGTAAGAAAAAATTTATACAGTACAGGTATTAATTAAAAAATGTACCAAGCTGCAAATTATATAGGTTAAGGTCAAAGATCTGTACATTGTAAGAATTTCTGCTCTGGTAAATACAGTATCTAGCTTTTACATGAAGTATACATTGACATTTGTGGTAAATGTCATTCCCTCATTTCATAGAAAACTTGATTCATAAATGGAAGTTCAGTTAATGTGTTTTATGGTGGTTTTTGAATTGTACAGTTCTCATTACACCCTTAAGATCATTCACCATTCATATAGCTAATTGCTCCTTCCTGAAGGGGTGACTTTTCAGGAGGAGGTCCACTACAAAAGTATCCATGATTGCCTAAGCATCTGTAATCTTGAAAGTACATACACAGGGCCACTCCTATTGCACATACAACACCTATACAGTGTACCTACTAAAGAAAACTGTGATTGCAAAGTGGGGCAACCTGAACATACTGTAGTTGGATTCAAAGTTGTAGGTCTAAATGTGGGTACGGGCATCTCTCGAGTTCCCGAAAAGTTGTCCGTAACTGGAAGTTCCATAACTTAAACCTTACATTCCCAAAATTTCTATTATATTATTGGAGGTGTGTTCCTACATGAAAAATATCCCCCAAAACATACTAAAATAACATTTAACACATTTAATTGAAAATTGTATTTTTAATAAACAATTAGTATACTATACTGATTTATTGTATATCTGTATTCATCAAAATACAGTGAGCACCATGGCATGACTGAATGAAAACCATTAAATGCCATTGACGGGTCACGTAATACTGTACCTGATAACTCTCAGGATCATGTCACGTCTTTCTGTAACATTCGGCTCCATTTAAACAAAATATTAGGTTCCTAAGTGATATAGTTTTTAGTGTATGGGAATTATTTATGGTTCTCGAATATAAAATCACCTTGTATTATGGCAATATACTTTTAAAAACACTGTTCTTGTGATGTCTGATTTTTCACTTATAAATCAAAATATATCATGACAATAAGATAGAATTAATTACAGGATTGCTTTATTCCATGCACCAAATACACAGTTGGAACTTGCATTTTACTGTGGTATTTACAAAACAAGAAATATTGCAACAATAGTTTCACTCATTTCAGACCATTGTTAGTGAAGCTAGGTGTAAAGATCATCCTGGTGCAAACGTGAGTATAGGAGGAGACAAAGAAAACACCTTGACAGAGGGACTGGAGGAGAGCATAACTGGGCCAGAAGAAGAGGAGGAGGAGGAAGGGATACATGGTCAATCATATCATTCTGTTGATAATGACACGGATGGAGAAACTCCTACAAAACGTCTGAAGACTGAGCATCCTGTACTGAGGTCCCCACCTTTTTACTTTAATCTCCATCGTCATTCCCCTAAAGGTATGTGCTAAGTGTGTGATGAATTGGCAGTACATATGATATGGATAAGGATTCTGCTGTGCATCTGATGAGTCCGTTTTTCTGCTAAGAGTTCTTATTATTTTGAAATGCACTGTTTATCTTCCAAAGTTGAATGTCATAAATTTTTTCCCAAAATTTTCTCACTAATTGCAGGGTGGCTCAAATAAAGAGCAAACAAACATACACATATTTTCCCATCACTTTCATTCATTCTTACTGTTGTATGTTCTCTGCTATGGTTCTACAATGCCTCCAATATTTATCTGGTTTACCCATATTACCTCATACAATCTGGCATCACCCATCAATAGCACATCCATCCCCAAGTATCACTCAGTACAATACCAAATTCAGCAGTCATTCATGCACAATACTGCTGCTTCTTGTATATCATTACCATAGAGCAATATTTTCCAAACTCTGAATAACAGCTCCTCCACTAACTCAGCAAAGTTTCCAATTACTGTACTGTATTATAGTATAAAGGGGCTTCATATTATTTGTATAACAGGAAAATCTACTTTTTATTTACTTGTTTTTATTAACCTTTTTAAGTACAACACAGTACAGTACTAACAAAAACAAATTATTAAAATTTTAATTAAAGTACTGTAAATCAAATTGTGAAGCTAATTTGATTTGTGAGCTTGCTTTTCAACACAAGTTTCTTGAAATGAAGTCGGTGATGAAAGAGCAACATATAAATCTTTTACTGTTATCTTCAGAGAATAATACTTTGTTTTTGTGACAGCAACAGCAGAAAATTCAGTTTCTCACAAACATAATGTCACAAAAGGTCAGCCCAACAATAGTGTTAACAGCATTTGGATTTCATATCCATTCAAGTTTTAAGGCATATGCATCCTTAAAATAGAGTGAAAACTGGTTCTGTAAAACATTCATTTGTTTAATGAATAGATAATTTATACATGAGCCTAAATATGGAAGGGAGGAGAGCCAGGGGTAGGCCAAGAATGACATGGGGGAAAGATTGTAAGAAATAACATTAGAGTTAGGAATTTGACAAGAGATTATACTGCATGGAGAGCTGCTAACAGGTAATCTTGACTAACCTATGCAAGCACTTATATGGGTAAAAAAAATTTTTGATTGTCATCTTTGTTGGCTTCCATTTCATTGTTATTAAAGATACCTTTCTTGTGTAGGAAACATGTCAAAAACTTTATTTTCTAAAACAAATAATTTCTATTCTAGTTTTCTCATAAATGAATCCAGTATGTCATCATGAGTAAGAATATTGGTTTGATGAGGACCTTACATTGACCTATTCAAATGGTTCACTTTTTCTAAAGCATCTACCAAACTATTCTTGGACTCTGACCAAAGGCCATTCCCCACTGTTTGAAAACCACTGCCATAGAATTAATACAGCTTGTGTGTTCCTGAAAAATGGCATCTTAAACAAAAACACAAAGTTTACATACATAGAAACTTTTAAATCGTATATTGTGGCATAATTACTGCTGCTTTCAGGATGTTTGTTCCCCTCACTTCTATTGCATCCATCACCACAATCCTTCTGTCTCCAATTTGATATGCCCTCTCCCTCCAAGGATTTACCTCTGAATTATATTTACTCTTTACTAGTCTTTCACTTTCCATTCTTGCTGTATGTCCATACTGTGTTAATTTGGATAACAAGGTTAATATGTGGACTAATGTAATTGGATAGGGAAATCCCTGCTGTACCTGATGGATTTTTTGTTGACTAAAACAGTAGAAGTTGACAGATGACATAAGTAAACTGGCACAGTTATGAACCATTGTCAACTACTGCAAAATCTGCACTTTAACTAGAACAAAAAATTAAAAAATAATAATGTGCTATTCACATGTATTTTGTTAAGTTTTATTATGATAAATTTTTCATATGTTTTGTTAAGTGTGATTAACATTCAGGTTAAGCTATTGTGATAGGTGTTAGAAAGTGTAGAATGTGAACCACAAATAGAGATTTTATATTCTTTAATTTATATGTTAGATGATTTAAGAAAAGGATCTTAATTCTAAAATTTACCTCAATTTATTACTTCGCAGTAGCTGCCTAGACTAAAGATCAGCCTGAGAAAGTAAATGACGGGAGGGCAAGTGTTACAAATGCCTAGAGAGGATTTAATTCATTAGAATACCGGGTATTTAACAAATATCAAGTCTTAATTTGTAGATTTCTTTGATTAATAGTAAAAACTTCCATTATTCATTTACTTTCAGGCCACGACTTGGGTAAAATCAACAAAGTTGTAGAATACCTTAGAAGTTCCACTCATAAAGCCAGTCGAACACACTTTGATCCTGAGGCCATTCGAACCAGCTGCACCCTTGCTGAGTTTACGAAGCTCTTGTTAGAGTTTTCAAATGCACAAAGCTAAGTACCTTAAGTGTTTGATGTACTAAAGTAAAGAAGTATTATTTAATGTACATCATCAGTAGATGTTTAAGTTTCCTTGTATTATTGACTTAATTCTGTGATACTGTGAATAGTAGAAGAATCACCATTGTTTGACATATGATTTATATTTCCTTATAATCATAGAAGTTTCTTCAGATCTGGAAATGTGTGAGACTTGTTTAAAAACAAAATCGTTTGTGTGAAGTAGTTATGGCATAATTTTTTTCCTTACAAAAAATTAAAAAGCTTTTAATTTAGAGTATGATGTATAGATAGTCCACATATTTTTTTAAAATACAAATGAATGGAAAATGGGTATTTACTTGCTCCTTGAGAAACCTTACCGAGTTCATGGAATGAAAATTCCTGACTTTAGTTGAAAGTAATTTTACAAGCGTAGGAAACATGATAACTTTTTTGGAGGACTGTTGGATCTGCAACAAATAGCCAATGTGGTAATGAGGTGGTATTAGCTGGTGTGAAACAAAAACTAATTGGTATTGATTGTAGCCATTCTTTTTACTGAATATTGCTGAACTTATCCATTATGGCAGACTTAACACTTGATATCCACCTCCTGTGTGGCAGATTTTCAGATTTTTTCTTCATAGTTTAACTTGCTGAATTGAGTACAGTACTGTAATTATCCTTGATTACAAAAATATGGAATTCATTAGGAATCAATCATTTATACCAGGGATCAGCAACCCCTGGCATGCATTCCAGAGTTGGCACAGGAGGGGTTGACCTTGGCATACTGAGTTATTTAAAATATATATATAATACCAAATAAAAATATTATGTTGTCCCAGATTTATTTCACAATCAGAACTGAAAAAAAATCGCTATTTCTAATAGAAAACTATGATAAATGATATAGATATAGCATAACTAATACTAGCACATACATTACCAGTGCTTTTGAGATAGAGATAGTATAACTACAGTCCAATACCTGTCCGGTGTCCACTCGACTGCAGCTGCTGACGCGTCAGGCCATGTTGCCATTTTAGCATCACCCTGAACACGTATAAGCTCACCTGTTCTCTTTCTCAGATATTTTCTTTAAGAAATTAGAGTGCAGTGATATCCCTGTTAGCAGGAACAGTTGGTGCAGAGCACTTCCGGGGATGAGAGATTTCCGGCTAACCAGACGACATTCTCAAACCCGGAAAAATTCCTTATCCCCGAAATCTTTTCTGGTTAATGGGAAAAGTTTCCAAGTGTCTAAATTAGACATCTTGCACAGACGGACACTAGCCCACTTCCTCAGAACGTTTCTGGGTGCTGGGGATGTTTTCCTCAAGTCTAAACTACCGGAGTCTGTAAATGCAGTTGTAATTAAGTTAGAAACTCCATTTCTTCACTATAATAATACAGAATAGTTTATCTAAAAATTTGGTGAAATAAATATATTTAAAAATAATAAATGTATGTGAATGAGGCTGAGTGTTACAGCAACCACTGGTATTTACCACTCCCATGGAGCTGTGGGGGATTATTGGGTCTTGTATAAGTGAGCTGACCTAATGCAATGTCAGGTGGAGGTAGGGTGGGGGATTAGTGGTCTCATATTACTGACCTAATGGAATGTCAGGTCACCCTTTCTGTGGTGGGGGATTAGTGGGTCTCATGACCTGAAGATGTCTTGAATAAACATGAAACCTAGAGTATTTTTAGGAGGATTGTGATAAGTATAAGTATAAATGAGCAAAGTTGTATCCCTTCAACGCTACGTTACGTAGCATTTTAAAACATGGAGTGAGAAAGCAGATGGAGTGGTAACATGCACCAGTGTTGCCAAGTGCTCCTCAACAGCTGATATTTAACTCGCTACCACGCAGTCACATACAGAAAATCTGTCGTACAAAAAGACCCTCACTCCACATGCTTGCTGTCTTAATTCCTGTGTGGGTTTGTTGTTGGAGAGAGAGAGAGAGATGTGGGTGGGTGTTGGAGAGAGTGTGTGTGTGTGTGTGATGTGGGGGGTGTCTGTGTGTGGTGTAGCACAGTGTGGGTGATGTGGGGCGAGAGTGGGGGAGTCAATTTTTTTGGGGGGTGAGGGGGGAAGGGTCATGCTGTCAGTTTCCTCCCTTCCTCACTCAAGTGTGGCTAATTGTGATAGGGAGATAAATTTGATACCATAATGATCCTTAATGAATTCTCTACGAGACGTTTCCAATAAAATATCCTTAAACGGAATATTTTGATGTGATATAATGATGGTAATTCCATTCTTTTATATAAAAAAAATAAGAAATGTTGATACCCGAGTCGGTAAAATCAGTTCTAATTTTGTTACACCCTTTTTTTATCAAAATAATCCTGAATACTTTATCTAAAAGTTTGGTTAAATAAATATATTTAAAAAAATAAAAGCTCTGTATGATAAGGACGGGAATTGAGCTGTGTTACAGCAAAGACTAAACGTTGCAGGTTGTAGGAGTTGTAGTTATTTACTCAAACACCATTGCACACATACAATATTGTTCATACAGGTCTCTGACACGCACTGTTGGCAGGTACTGGTCATGCACCGGCTCCTGAATGTACCTGAACCTGCTCCAGTGTTGGTCAAGTCTGGTCTTGAAAGAGCTCACACTGGGTGCCGTCACAACACTTTCTGGCAGATTGTTCCAAGAGTTCACAACTCTCACTCCGAAAAAGTTTGCCCTCACAGTTTTCTGGACTTTGGCTTCTTCAATCTTGAGCTGTGACCCCTTGTGGGGCGAGCGTCCCCCAGCTCCAAGTAAGGACACTCAACTGAGTAGTGCTCCTTGAGATGCTTATACACCTCAGTTAGGTTGCCCCTTGCTCGTCTGTAGTATAAGCTAGGCAAGTTCAGGCGCTTGAATCTTTCAGGGTAGTTGAGGTGCCGAAGTTCAGACACCAGTCTGGTGGCCCTCCTTTGAACATTTTCAACCAACTGACAGTCCTTAGCATATCTCGAGGACCTGACGGGGTGACAGTACTCCAGATGGGGAAGCACTTCACTCTTGAAGATCGTTACAAGGGACGGATCGTCTAGATATCTGAACGACCTTCATATAACACCCAATAATTTATTTGCCTGATTTACCTTCTTCTCGCAATGGTCCGAGAACTTCAGCTCATTGTCAACATACACACCTAGGTCCTTCTCACATACAGTCTCAAATAGTGCAGTTTCTTCATCCTGTTGGGACATATGATATACTTCCTTACCGTTGATATGCCCCAGGTGCATCCTCTTACACTTGGTGACATTGAATCTCGGCAGCCATTTCTTCGACCATTCTTGCAGCCCACAGAGATCCTTCTGCAGCTCTTCACAGTCCGCTTGGTTCTTGATTTCCCGAAATAACTTGGCGTCATCAGCAAACATTTGTATGGAGGAGTGTACAACGTCAGGCATGTAATTTATGAAACAAACAAACGACAGCGGGCCAAATACACTGCCCTGTGGTACCCCGCCTGTGACAGGTACGGATGATGATTTCGTGCAATTAATCACCACAAACTGCTTGCGGTCATGTAGAAAGTCTTCTATCCATGCTAGGACATTTCCCGAATTCCGTACTCTTCCAGTTTGATTTTCAGCCTTTCGTGAGGTACACTGTCGAAAGCCTTGGCAAAATCTAGGTATACCCTGTATATTGTCGATATTACCACCCCGTTCCAGAATATGGGTCCAAATATCCAATACCTTGAGCAATTGTGTTAAGCGGGAGCGCCCCGGCATAAAACCATATTGGCAATCCTTTACAAGGTTGTTTCGTAGTATATGTTCCATCGCGGCATATCTGATAATACTCTCAAGTACTCTACATATTATGCTGGTCAGGCTCACCAGTCTATAGTTGTTCATGGAGTGATGATCGCCCTTCTTGAAGATAGGACTCACATGAGCCATTTTCCAATCACTGCCACCTTTTGTTCATCCAGGCATTTACAGAACAGGATCCTCAGGGGCTCGGCAAGCTCGTTGCACAAATCTCTTAGCACTATGGGATGCACCATGTCAGGGCTGGGACTCTTATGGACCTTTAGCTTTGACAGTTTATATCTAATACCTTGTTCTGTGAACACAATGTGGGTCAAGTGCTGTGTCAAACCGTCTGTCCTCAAATGCAGGAAAGTTAATCACATCTCTCTTGTGAAAAACGAGGAAAAGAAGCTGTTTAATGCCTCAGCTTTATCCTGGTCAGAATCTGCATAACTACCATCTTCAAACCTCAGGTCTGATACTCCTACTCGCGTTTTTTTACTTCGACTTTGCATAGCGGTAAAACGCCTTTGGATTTGACTTGACCTCGCTTGCAACCAGCCTCTGGAACACTCTTTCAGCCTTTCTACACTCTGCCTTTGCTTGGTTTCTGGCTCTTGCATACATCCTCCTGTCCTACTCATTGTTCGACCCAACCCACATTTTGAATTTCTGGGTTTTCTTCTTAACTTTGTCAATCGCCGCATGGTTAATGTGTAGGGTTCCCCTCATATTTCTAGAGGCACTGGGTTTGGTCTTGAGTATGTATTTATCGATCAAATGGGTCACTCTACCAGTTATGATATTCAGTGTAGTGTCTGCGTTCTTGTGCCTTAATGAGTCAGGCCAGTGGATACCCCTCATCTCTTCCCTCATCCCATTGTAATTTCCCTTGTAATATTTGCAACTTGGCCTGGCCTTATCTTGAACTAGGTAACAGTTAAATCTGAATGACAACATTATATGGTGACTGGTGCCAACTGGGGCAAGGTGTTCCAGTTTGGCCACCATACCCTCCTTGTTTGTTATGATGAGGTCTAGTGGCTTGGGTGTTTGCTCCCCTCTGTAATGTGTCGGGTCTCTAACATGTTGGAACAGAAAATTATATCTCAGTTTCTACAAAAAGAGTAGCAGGGTTATTCAAGTCATTTGGGGTGAACTCGCTTCTCCAGTTGATGTCGCCATAGTTAAAGTCCCCCATGATAAGGAGGTGGCTAGGGTTGAGCATCGCTGCATTGTTTATTAAGGCTCTTTTGAGTTCCTTTGATTTAGTGAGCCACAGTTTGGGGATCTGTAGATACACCTGACAATAAGTAAGTCCCCTCCCTTAAATTAAATTTTATACCACTTGGACCCCTCAAAAACATCCTCTTCCTGTACCCTCGCCTGACTGGCTCTAAGGTCTTGTCTAGCATAGATAACCACACCCCTCTTGAAAGTTTCTTGAGAAATGTTTGTAAATGAGTCATATCCAGCAATGCTGAACTCTCATTCCTCTGGGTCGATTCTCCTGTTCTTGTACAACAGTTCTACAACTTCTACAATATCGGGTTAGTGCACCTTCAGT